ACGTCACGTCGAAAACAGTGCGATTTTTAAATGCAAACAGAGAAGGCAGAATAAATGTCTTTCAAGTCACTGGCATGGATGGAGAAGACACACTTTCAGTGAATACATCATATTTTAATTTTCTGAATGAATGACGGTGCACCGGTTTAATTGCTGCGCCAGAAACTGAAAGTCAAACTTATGTCCATTTCCTCTAGCCACTTTCTGTTTGTCATAAAGCGCTTTTTCCTGAGTTTAACTCAACAGTCAAGAAGGCATGTTAGGTACCAGGTTAAAGTATCCCAGTATTTTCCTTTATTAGGCCTAGTATATGGCTCCCCTTATAAAGCCTTGACCACCCTCTGGCCACCCCTTGTATAAAAGTCTAGTTCCACCACTGGGGTGGCACTGCCTGAAATCTGATTGGCCATCCAAGCTCCACCCCATTATTCTTCCCTCTTCCTTTCCACACTGTCTTTCTGAGGTTGTAGCAGGCTCTGCTTTCTAGAGTGAAAATACTGGTATCATATGAAACTAGATGACCTACCGCATCCATTGGCAAACATGCTGCGCTAGCATGCCACCCTACATTAGTCAGTGCCGGTCTCGTGCCACCTCAGTCAAAAAAGTCTGGAAACACCCCTGACTGGAAGGACACCTTAGAGGTCACTTTATCATGTTTTGTGCACCAGTGATCTCTGGTGATCTTTAAAAAAGGAGAAAGGAGAACCTAGCATTTGAGTTATCTGTCAGTATTTACTGATGCTATTTGTAGCTCTCTTCTGACTTGAAGCAATGTGATAACCTGTGAAGCTACAGTTTGTTGTCATTTTTGTCTGTACATTTTGTCAATAGATTAGTAAAATTATCACTGTCCATCCATACAGACCAGGCCTAAAGTCAGAGGCTTGACCTCTGACCTCTGAGCTTACTCTGCAGCTGCTACACATTGGCAGGTGTGATCTGTCTATCCTGCATACTGTTAGCCTTACAACAGAGATTTATTACCCTCCCCACTAGTAGAGGACTACTATTTGTAGTCAAGGACACATTCAGAATAGCCCTGTCTTTGTATGTATTGTTATGTAGACATCTGACGCCACTCTATACTCGGGGCATAGAAAATAAGGAAGATTATATGTAGTTGTGAAAACTAAACATTTAATTTCTTTCAATATCCCTAGAATGGCTGCCCTTCAGAAAGTACAAATATGGAGAGCCTATGTATTTATGGTGAAATGGATATGAGTGACCTAACAAGCATTTTCTGTGATGCCATCCCAATTGTTGGCAGGGCTTTCCAACTGATCCTTCACTTCACCCTGTGAACAACACTTAGCCTGACTGATGAATGCATATTTGCTGATGTTAGCTTATTGCAGATAGTTCGGTTTTGGTATTAAGTGAAAATAAATGTCAGTACATTAAGGCAGAAAATAAGTTTGAGGTGTTGCTGCCAAGTTTATTTTTACACTCTAACTGTCATGCTACCATGTGTGTCCACTCACACAGTCCAAGAGGCCTGAGCCGGAGGGGAATGGCAAAGTGTCAATATGGATATCTAACAAAGGTGGAAAAAAAAACAGTGCAGTGCATTTAGACATAGAAAACCGAACTTCTTCAAGGTGTATACAGGAAACCATATATTTTAGCGACCTCTTGAAGCAGGGAGGGGAAGCTGACTTCCACTCCTTTAGAAGGACTCGTTTTGCAATGACCATACCAAACATGAGGGCTTGTTATAAAGCAGATGGAAGAGCCAAAGAACCATTGGAGCAGCCCAGTATCACTAAGAGACAGTCAGGAACCAGTTGTCTATTATAAACAGCACTGTACAAACTAAAAATGTCAACCCAGAAACTTGTGAGCTTAGACCAGGACCAGAAAAGATGCCCAAGAGTTCCATCAGCTGATTTGCATTTATCACAAGTGGGAGGGACAGCAGGAAAAATTCTATTCAGTTTAGTATTGGAATAGTGCAACCTATGTACTACTTTAAACTGAATGAGCTGAAGTGGAGCATTAATAGAGCATGCTTTTATCTTATTTAACCCTTTCGCCCATAGCTCGTCAGAGATTACTTCACCGGTGTCCTTGATCCACGCCTCTTTAATATGGAGAGAGGGGGTTGCCATAGTGAAGAGGTTAACAAACCGAGAGATCAAACGTTTGGAGGTGGGAGATCTGGTCATAATATCATAGAAGATATGTTGTATGGGGGTCGCATCTAGGTGAGAAAATGATTGCTTGACAAAGTTCCTAACTTGTAAATAACAAAAAAATTGAGTAGTAGGGAGTTTGAACTTTGCCTGGAGCTGGGCAAAATAAGCAAAATGATTATCAATGTGGAGATCCCTGATAGTAGTTAAACCTTTATCTGAAATCAAATTATGGATGCATGTCATCTTCCTCAAACTTAACTGTGACAAATCTGAAATAATCATCATTGGTCCCAAATCCCTCATCAAAAACACAAACAACTTCACCCTCACCATTGACAGCACCACTCTGTCTCCCACCCCACACATTTGCAACCTCAGAGACATCTTCGACAGAAACCTCTCCTTTGAACACCATGTCAACCAAATCACCAGAACTGCCTTCTTTCACCTGAAAAAGATTGCATGCCTCCACCCATCACGCTTCACACTTCTGCTGCTGAGACCATCATCCACACTTTCATCACATCCAGAATTGACT